ATGCTGAAACACAGGGTTTTAACAACAATTCAGCAAAACCCCAACCGGTGTATTTAAGGTTGTAAGATTTTTTATAAACCCAAAAAGAAAACAAAACATTGGACAAAATGGGTAAAAGAACACATAAACTGAGCTCAGAAAAACACCACACTATTGGTGGCACCCTTCCTAACCCCCTGCTAAGCTATAAATAACTAACAATCTCATGCAAACAACCTCTCACAGCTAAAGAGCAGCATTTGTCACAGTAAAGTGCACCCCCCCAAAAAAAGAAAATCTGCGTACTCCATTTACAATGTATTGCAAAACTTCCAGTCATTGCCAGTTCAATCACACTAAAGATGAAAGGAAGTGAAAGGAGAAACAGCACATGCTGAAAGCTGAAAAAATATTCTTTTTGTTTTGGCTTTAAGCACTTATTCAAATTCTATTTAGTCCACTTTTGAAACGGTAAGTGATTAACTATCAATAATTAAAACTAATGATGATCACCAATCCTAGGACACTCTTAACACCATATTGTAAACCATAACACCATTTGTAAAATGAAAATCTTTAACAACCCATAAGGCATGAAGGAGCAACGGCTCAGACGCTTACAGCTTTAAGATGCATAGTAGATGCGATATGAGACAAACTAAACAGAAACAGATTGTCTAAAAGTAGGAAGTGGGCTTTTTGATCATTCAAGCTAAGGAAATAGTGAGAAAGAACGCAACTTTTCTTTTTACAAAATCTCAAGTTTAGCTCACAAAGCATGCTAGTGGTACTTCATAATCAACTTTCAAATTCCTTCATCTGCAAAAGAACAAAACAAACAAACCCTCCATAGTGAAATATCATAATGACAATTCAAGATGAGCGCTGCATCCCGGTGTACCCTCATCTCCCACAAAATACACCACAACACACATACTCTTATAAGTAATTATAAATACTGTGATTGTAATAACAATTTCATTGCATGTTCCAGAACCCCGAACATGCAATGAAATCCGGTTCTGGTTGTGAAGTTAATCTCTGCTTACAGCTGACCGATTTGACCAAACTTGTCTGTTTTTGGAAGCCCATTTCCACAAAAAAGTTGGGCAAATTATAAATATAAATAATACTCATGGTGAGTCAATAATAACATAAAAGTCAAAATTTCGACTGTCTAGGTAAAAAAAAAAAAAAAGACAAATGTTTTATTTTGACTTCCCATGAGTTACTTCTTAGCAATTCAAACAGCAGCAATTTTATTTAACTTGCAGAGTTATTAGGATTTTTTCCAAGGATCAAAGAAGCAGAAGAAATGAATTGATCCGACCTGAACTTTAATATAAAGCAATGCTAGCTCTCAAACAGTGAAGTCACCAGTCTGCATCACATTTTCAGGTATACCCAACATGGAGGGTGCAACTGCACGTGTTGAAAATGTGTTTTGTCATGTACATATTCACTACAGATACACTCTGTCGTAAATAAACTGTCTACATTTACCACATGCTCTACAAGCACCTGTGAGCTGACTGCAGAGGGCACCTGTTGGTGGTGCAGACTGCAGACCTATTTTCTGGCATGACTTTTCTCAGTGTGAACACCCGGCACAAGCGGCAGCAGAAATGATGTAGCAGCAGTGAGGCACAGCTCAGTGTGAGCTCCTATGATGATCACCACAGCAAAATGTAGAGTAAGCAGCACAGCGTGTCTTCATCTTCATCACCATCATCAGACCACAGTCACATGGTGTGAAAAGAAATGTCCTCTTCCTCTCCAGTCCTTGTTTCTCCCAGGGGGACCTTGTGTAGCGAAGTCATCCACTCTGCGGCCCTCTGTTGAACAGTAATGTGTCAGGTGATGTTTGGTTACTCGTCGTCCCATGTTTGCTGTAGCAGGAAGTTAGCGGCCAGATTCTCATTCTTCTCGCAGGCGAAGTAAGCCTGGATGACTAAGCCTTCAGGGAAGCCCAGTGCTTTTAACTGGAACACAAACACACACGTTTACATTATAAACTCACACACACACACCAGTACAGCTCTGTCTGAGACAGTAAGGGTGCATGCACCTATGCACACATGTAAACACGTCACAACAGGATATAGGAATACACCACATTTTTAACCCAGAGTCAATGAAATCATTAAAAACATTGGTGCTGCTTGTGTTGCTGCATCAGCATCTGTACATTGCTCTATTGATTTGTTGAACACCGAATCACATCGATCACACTATGATCAAAACAGAAGATGTACTGATACATCAATACTCACCATCAGTATACAACACTGTCTGAACTCTCCAAACAAGCAGCCACAGAGTTACCAAGAATGTTGCCACTTCTAGCCTTTAAATATAACATCAGTTCATTATGGGTTAAAAAAGATAATATTTTCATGCTTCCTTATTCTGTACAGCTTGTGGGGCGGTGTACAAGTAGAATGCTTTTAATATTAATAATGTGTACTAAGTGTAAATATAATGTGTACTAAGAATGGTTTGGTGAATCCAACATCTTGTTGAAAAGAAAAATAAATATCCTATCACAGGTTTGTGTATTTTAGCTAACTATTATTACAGTTGTTCTCAATTGCTGAAACACTATAACCAGGCTTTTGAATTAAAAATTCAAAGCCATAATGCCATTTATCAAAAAGCACACCCATTTCCCTAAACTATATAAATCGTGCTTCAAAACAGGGGAACCGTGTTTCCCCTGTTTTGAAGCATGATTCAGATTTGTTGAACTGTAACTGCAAAACTCACAAATCCCTTCATTTCTCATTGCCTGCACCATGTGGTCATTGAGAAAGCACTAAAATTCAATATTGTAGCACACAGCTACCCAGGTGGAAACACAAAGAGTCCGAATTGATAACACACCAGTCAGAAGCTTCAACAGATAGATAAAAGGGCCAGAGTCGGTTCATTCAGCTTTGGAACAATGGATCCAGAGAAATGTGAAGGAAGAGAAAGAGTAGGAGGAGTAGGGAGAGGAGGAAGAGGAGGTGGAGAAGGAGGACGAGATTCTCTGGCCGGTCCCAGACTACGCTGGGGCAGAAGGATTTTTTTATTTGTTGTTTGGTGTGTGGTACTGAACAGTACATTAAGAAATAAAAAATGTGCATATATATATACATTTCTGGTTTCTTTTGTTGTGTTCATTGTGTGAAAAGGGGGAGAACCACAAGCAACATTACTAATTACCAGTTTTTGTAGTATTGTTTTGAATTTATCTCAACGGTGTGTCAGACTGTGTGGTAGTGTGTGTGCTTCTGAGGGCTTGTGTGTCATGTCTGATGACAAAGTTTGGTTTTTCAGCAAGATTGGATGGTTTTGAGTGGAGAGCTTAATTTTGATCTGAAAATAGGATGTTTGGGGAATTGGGTGAGAAGTTGTGGATTTGTGTTTAGAGTTTTGAGAAAAGGAGGCATCATTTGAAGAAATGTGTTTAAGCAATCTGGAATATGTAATATATGTAATAAAAACTCTAGTATGTCAATGTGTGCCCTATTTTGATAGCGCAAGTTGTGCAGTTATCCAGACAAGACAATTCAATAACTGTAACCTGACTTACTACAGACAATGGTAACTGACCCTCTCAATGGCCTCCTTCTCCTGTGGGGTGACCTGGATGTAGTTGGTTTGTGGTGTCCCCTGAGCTTCAGCCCCGTCCCCTCCTGTGTCTCCACCTCTAGGCTCATTCAGCATCTGCACAAAACGCTCCTGGTGCTGCGTGATTTGCTGCAAGTAATACACACACAAGACCACCATACAGCTAATATACAGGTTCCCAGCCCCTAGCAAAAACAACACAGAACAGCTGATTACGATTATAGATCAACTCCCCATCCAACAGTAAATAGTAGAGCATGGTAAGCTGACCTCTGATTGTGTCAGATGTATTTAGACTTGTACAGTTACAAATACATCATTCACAATCTCAAAATATAATTTGACTTTATATTGCAGAATATATCTATTTCATTTAACACAACACAACAACTAGGTACATCACTTTCTTACTGAGTGTTTAATATGTTTGTGGCAGATGGTTGCCATTATTTGTTCATTTTCAACTAAGTGCTTTAGTTCATAAGAAAACCGCTAAAGTGATCAGAAGTGCCCTTTCCATGTTGAAACAGTCTATTTATTCCAAGATCTGCATAAAAGACACTTTTTCCTGGGCTATCAGATGTACTTTTCTTGCTGCTCTGTGAACAGTTTTTTTAACTATCTTGCTAACAGACATGCCTGGCAGAAAGCTGGGAAGCATGCTGGTGTGGTACCTGCAGCAGCTGCGGGTTGTCTCTGCCCAGCTGCTGCAGCAAGGCTGGCAGGAGGGCTGGGTTCTGCTGGATGATCTGTCTCATCTGCTGGAACTGAGGCTGATTCCTCAGGAACTCCAGAGGGTTCCCTGTGGACACAGAGCCTCCTAGAGCAGGGGGAGGCTGGCTGCCAGACACTGGCCCTGCTAGGGTGGGGACAGGCTGCTTACTGTTGTGTTTAGTGTGATAAGGGTACATTCAGGTAGACAGTATATAGACAAAATGACCAGATGGGAAAGTCTGTCTGGATATTTCAGTGAATTAAATAGCTGACAGAGGAAGGTATTCAATCAAATTGATACTAAAATCCACTATTGGTATGAAGCAGTCTGCTCACTAATTTGCAGCATTGCCCACAATGGGGAAAGGTCCAGCTACAGCGAGCCAATGGGAGAGCCTACAGTTCCTAGAATGTAGGATGTGTCTCAATTTCTTTCGCAGCCTTTTTTCTCCCAAAACGTTTATTTAACAAAATTAGGTATCAGCCAGGGCCAATCCCAAAACCTAGCTACATAGTGTTAGTCTCGTGACAATGCCAGAATATAATCTATGTTTATATAACTGTTTCTCAACTGTGCTGTCAGCACGGTCAGCGTTTTATTTTCTTCTTCCTCCTCTTCAAAGGTTGCTAAGTTCTTTTTAGGATGCGAAGTCAGCGGCAACGCAACGTGACAAAAACAACATCTAATCCTTACTGGAATGTTTGATTTGCTCATTAATAATTGAAAAAACTGGTTTCTGTGTGGCTTTCTTACCCATGGGAAGTTATTCCAACCAACGTTACAGTACTCTTACCGAAATGGAAAGGAGATCACAAGTAATTTCTGCCTCTTGTGATGCTAGTGACATGTGCTGTACCGTGTGAATACAGCGGTGCAGACGTTGTGGCAGCCTGAGGTTTATGTTTTACCAGTGAGCTGCATTTTGCATTGGTTTGGTGGAAACGAGTAATGAAACAATCTGGAAGTAAGCCTAAGAGAGTGATAGACATAAATAGAAGTAAGAAACGTGTGCTCTTACTGTTTGAGACTGCTGGGGGCTGTTGTGGTTGTTGTGTAGCAGAGGTGGGGGGGTTGGATGGAGCACTGTGTCTAACTGGCTCCTGAGGTGGCAGATCGCTGGCCTCGGCTGGAATACCCTACAGTACATAGACATTTACAACACACACTAGAGTACAGTGGCAGGCCGGGCGTGGAATGAAGCATACAGGCTGGTTCAAACCTCACCATGAGTAGATACTCCACTGCTCGGTCTGGGTTGTTGTAACTGGCTCTGAGTGCAGCAACTACCTGGTCTCGCTCATAACCCATAGACATAATCTCTGACACCAGGTTCTCATAGGCTGGACCTGTCACTGTGGGGACAACAAGAGAGAAGGACAGAGACGAAGGAGGTTAATGTCAGATGGATGAAATGAAAACTTTCTTGATTTGGGAGGACAGACAAAGCTCAACATGTGTCGGAATTTCACAGTCAAATGTTCAGTGGTGGAAACGGACTTATTAGACTAGGCTACTTTGTCTTCTCACACCAATTTTAGTCGGACTTTGACTGGAATTATTTGAAATACAAGGACACTAAATGGAATTCTTATTCCTTTTATCTGGCTGCTCTGCTGATGACAGAGCATAATGTCTGTGTGTCCTGGTATGGCGGTTATCACTGAGGACAAGAGGTGCAATTTTTGATGAAAACTCTTATCGACCAGGCCCTCACTGGGATTTTTTCATGTATAACAGAGGGAAGAAACATTTATTACCCAGTATTGACGCTGCTTCTTCAAGGAGCCCCAGTTCATCAACAAGGCTTTGAGAGAGAAAACACTGAAGTCAGTTAATCAACGTTCCAAAGCCACAACACTTACAGACATGAATGTCTGTACAAAATGTAATTGCAATTCTTCCAAAACTTGTTGAGACATTTCAGTCTTGAGCAAAGTGGTGGGCCACTAGCGTGGCTAAAAAGGATACACTGAACAGTAACAAATGTCTTGCTATGAGTGAACATTGGTGTCCTCCAACCTGGAAGCAAAGGAGTGAACTGGTTCAGTGGCAGATGGTTGATTCTCAGGGTCTTCCCTTGGCTTCTCTTCTGGCTGGGCAGCAGGGGTGGGGAGGTCTGACGGGGCAGACGCCGGGGCTGCTTCAGGAGCTGAAGCTGGGTCAGAGGCTAGAGTAGCAGCTGACGCCGAGGCTGGGGCTGTGTTTGAGTCCAGAGCTGCTGTTGCAGCAACAGAAGCCGGCGGGGTGTTTTCTGGGACTGGGGAAGGGGTTTCAGAGAGAGGCACTGACTGTGGGGCCGGTGTGGGTGCAGACACTGCATGTGTCAGTGTGGAGGGCACTTGTGCTGGGCCAGAAGCTGGGGATGGTGCACGAGCTGCAGCTGGTTGGGGAGTTTGCTGAGGGGCCGCTTGTGGAGTAGGGGCTGGTTTAGGCTAAAATGACATTTGAGAATTGATCATTAGTAGTGCGGATGTGATAACCAAACAGGTAGCAGCACTGCATTGTTCATTCAAGTTCTAAAGCCTTTCCATATCAGCACTATCTAACTCAAATATAAGTTGGTATTCAAATTATGGCTGTTCAAATAACAGCTGGGTAAACAACACAGGAGGGGTTGGAATTATTACTTTTAAAAAAAGACATACGTATTTCACATAAGTCAAAATACAAGTAGGCCTAAATAAATACATTAGAGAAATACATTTAAAAAAAGAAAAAAAAAACAAAAAGGAGGAAACAACAGTATTCCTGGATTACCTGCGATATGCCTCCCACCAAATAATATCATCATACGTATATCCCCATAATCATTCCTACATAATACATATTCAGAAACATATGCATGTGTCTCCATTGAAGCATACATGCCTAAATTGTGTTACTTCTACTTTATTTTTTTATTTTTATTATTATTATTGTTTTCTAAATACTTTCGCTGTGTTGAGTTGGATAGTTGTCTGCTTCCTGATAGGCTCCTCAAGGCTAATGTTAACTTTAACAATTATTTCGTATGGACAGGGTGATTTTGTAAATGAGTATTAATCTGATACCAAGTTACAGGAGTAGATGCGTTTGACATTTGTTCTAAGCTTAATAATGTTTCAAAAGTTTGAATGATTTCTCATTTATATATTAATTGTAAATGCTCCGTACTTGTATAGCGCCTTTCTAGTCTTTTTGACCACTCAAAGCGCTTTTACACTACATGCATTCACCATTCACACACTGATCCTAAGTGCTCAAACAGAAACTAACATTCATACACTGGTGGAACAGCCACCAGGGGCAATTCAGGGTTCTTGCCCCCTTCGACATGCAGCCTGGAGGAGCCTGGAGGAGCCTGGAGGAGCCTCATAAATCCAACCAACACTACCTTTTTTTTTTTTATTATGGCCAGTTTTTATCATCATTAAAATATATAAATATAAAAAAATGCATAATTTATGATCTAGTGGAATGTTTTCTTTAGTGATCTTAGACAACATGGACACTATTTTCTTCCAAAATACTTGAAGTTTTGTACATTTCCATATCACATGAAAGAATAATAAAAAGATTCTTCAATATAACAATACCCTTTTTCCCCCCTATCCTCTAATAATTTGTCTTTCACCATAAAAAGGCTGATATTCCACAGAGGAATATCAGGAGAGTTATGACCCTTGAAATCTTATACTTCATGTAGATATTGTGCGATTTCACATGAAAATGTTATTATGGGATTTAATTATGGGATTTTGCATAGTTTTCAAGGATTTGGGGTTAAACCACATTGACATAATACATATCTCTGGTTTATTGGTAGACACTATTCTTGTTTCTATGTCTTCCCATGTTATTGATTCCATATTACAATTATATGCCATTTTAAAGAGTATCTTAAATTGATTGCAATATAATATTGTTATAAATTTGGGAGACCTAGACCACCTTTGTCCCGATGAAGATATCATTTGTTCATACTAATTCTTGCTCTTTTAGCAATCCAAATAAAAGCAGAAAAAAAAGTTAATTCATTAAAACATTTTTTTTTCAAAAGGAAGAGGGAGAGCACTAAAAACATAAATTAAGCGTGGCAGTACATTCAGTATTCTTCCCCAGAGCGAAAGTGGCAGGTATTTCCATCTTTCCAGGTCTTCAATGATATGTCTCAAGCTATTAACTATATTTTTGAAACTATACTGTCAAAATCAGAATTTAAATTGACACCTACATACTTACTGCCATCTAAAGACCACTTAAAGGGAAACTGCTG